GTCTATATTTGTATAAAATAAAGAATTGAAGTAATAATGTTAAGTATTATAAGAAAAAAAAGTATATTTTCAAAATGTTCAACATTTTGTAAAATTTTTTGATTTTGAATTATGTCATGTTAAGGAATAACGTGTCCTGAATCTATTATTTCGCATTTAATTATAGATCTCAAAATTTTCCTACCGTAAATGTACCTGCATATTTTGTATAAAATAATATAAGCATCTTGCCTTTACATTGAATTATTATGGAATAATGGTATAAATCATTTAACCATTATTTTCGCGATTATAGTACTTATGTTATATCCATAATGCTAAACTTCAAAATACTGCGATCTTTATATAAATACATAAATATATATAGCACACATATAGTGAGAAAAATTATATATAATTAAATAATTATTTAGACATCATCGATTTCTGTTTATTAATCATCATTTCCATTAACTGGAAAATAGGGTAAGAGAATTAATAAACGGAAATGTCTGTCTATCATATGTTTGCATTAGTGTAGTGAACAATTCTGTGGTATATTGTATAATTGATAAAAATACAGTTACAAATATAAAAAAATCACACGCATATATATAAGCTATCATAATTTATCTAATTTGTCTTATCATGCAATATGTGAAAACTGGTTAAGAAATGATTTTAAGGACGGACAAATATTAGTTAAACTACTTTATTGTGCTCCCAATTAGTTTCGACTATCTATAATTGTGCCAATTATTGCTTGATAAATATATTCTTACATAAGTTATATATGCACTGAATTGATGTGGCACAATCAAAACTAGCTTTCTGTGATTAGATTAATTACATGTGCGTAAATTACATATGCGTTATATATTGTGTAAAATATACTCAAATCTCTAATTTCTAAATATAATCGTTATCATATTGAAATGGCGAATATTGCGCTTAGATTGATCAGAACTGTCCAGTCATTTTTTTACCTTCATCATCTTGCATTTCAAGTTTCATCTTTGATTTCAGTATTGCTATTATGATGATAATATATTTGTAGCTTCAGATCTCTTCCATTATTTTCGATATTTTCCGAAGCTACATCTATTAAGATTCGAGTATATTTTACAACGATGAAGCGAGTACAACGTATTTAATTGAAAACGCTAGGTTCGTAGATTTTTTAATTTTTAAACGTTTAATGATGTTTCTATAGAGGAAATTTATTAGGTATTAGATAATCAGGGAAATATATGATGTAGATGAATGGATCAAACATATATATATATATATATATATATATATATATATATATATAAATAACTACACACACACACAACACACTAGTATTAATTTAATTTAATTAAAGTAAATTAAAATTAAAAAAACAAAAAGTAAAAACGTAATAATAATAATATAATAATATATATATATACTTAGTATATATATATATATATATATATATATATATATATATATATATATATAAAATCATACACACACACATACACACATGTATATTTATTTAATAGAAAATATAAAAGAACAAAGATATATATATATATATATAAATGTATAGATGGAAGTTATTTGAAAAAAATGTTACAAATTACATAAAAATTTTAGATTCAAAATAACTTAAGTTTTAATATATAATGATATATTTGTGTAGTGATAAATAAAATCCTGGAAAATTAACGCTGTTATAATAAAAATACGAATATTTTATTAATATTTTATTGGTTTATCATTTCCGCTTATAGAATTATTTTATTTCATTACTATCTATATTACATTATTATTATATTACAATCCAATTCTTTTTAGGGTGAGAACTTTCTAAATAATGTAAGTAAGATCTTATTTTTTTTAACTTTTAAATTTTTCTCTTTTATAGTCAATCATGTTCAAAAAATTTAATCGCACGATAAATAAAATATTATAATCTAATATTGTAAACTCATTCTAAATACAAGATTTTATGTTTACGAATTTCCTTCCTCTTTCTCTCTCTCTCTCTCTCTTCTTTTTTTTCTCTATTTTTGAGAAACTAGAAAAGTGATTGGCTATCGCGTTATCGTGTTGTGTAGAAGGCTTAAAGCGTCTGAAGGCGTTTCAACTGTCAAATTAGCTAACTTCAAAAAAGATCACAAGGTCGAATGTGCCGGGAAAATATTTGTAGAATTGAAAGTAACGCAAACAAGAAATAAGTTGATTTATGGTTAAAATAGTTTATAAAAATTAAGGTTATATATTATATCGTCTAAACTTGATACTTGATATATCAAATACTCTTCCTCTTTTGTCAATTGTTTTATAGGTTATGTTTGTAATTTATGTATTTTAAATATCTATCTTACATTTCATTAAATATTTAAAATGGTGTCAACACGAGGGCCGAAATTCAAATTTTCTGACGGAGAGAAAGTATTATGTTACGAGCCAGATCCCACAAAAGCAAAAGTGCTATATGATTCGAAGGTAAAACACATTGCTAGCTATACATGCATGTATGCATACATGTTTGCACTTAATTTACATTTTTAACAAATATTGTTGTACATATGCAAATGTAAATGTGAAACACAAATTAAATACTGAGATTAGCGAAAATGTTAAAGTGATTTGCAAAAATTAAAAGGAAGAACGCAGAAGTACAGATAATTTAAGGTTATAAAATTGAATAGAAAAGATTTATAAAATAAAATGATAAACCTATCTTATAAATTTTATAAGAAAATATAAGGAGTTTTGATCTATTATAGAAGCTTGCATTTCAAAGTAAATAATTGCAAAATTATTTGCAGGTCCTTGATGTCATTGTAAATAAAGATCAAAGAGGTAGAAAAGCTGTAGAATACCTTATACACTTCCAAGTGAGTTGAAAAAATTTTATTATGGTTATTTAATTGTATAAATTGTACTAAAGTATAGAGAAAAGATAAATATAATTTATTATTATATAAGGGATGGAATTCATCTTGGGACCGTTGTGTGACAGAAGAATATGTGCTTAAAGACACAGAAGAAAATCGACAGCTTCAACGAGATTTAGCACAAAAAGCGCAGCTTCAACTGTATGTATGTTTGAAATTCTAATATGTAAAAATTTAATATGATTAATTATATATGAGTTGATATTTAATTGAATGAAATAGAGGTGCTTATTTGTATCGTCGTGAACGCAAGAAGAGAAGTCATAAGATGTCGGAGCGCTTAACAGAAACAGAACATCAAGAACCTCGTCGTAGAGCAAGAAGTGGTGGTAGCCGAGCGACATCAGCTACAACTGGATCTTCCGAAGATGGTAGTTCGGGTCAGCATGCTGATTACGATACAGAGGTAGATATTTCCTTTGCAAGTGATTACAGAGTTGATCAAATGTTTCAGAAATTTAATCTCATGTAAAAATAAATATAAATAATTTAATAAAATTTAATAATTTGTGTACTATTGCCAAAAAATGCAAACATTACAATGATATATAATTCAGGAAATTCTAAATTTCTATTTTACTTTGTTTAATAGACTTTTTTGTAAGATTCTGAAGATTATGAAATCTATTAAATAAAATAAAAGATATCTATAAAACAATAAGAAAAATTTGTAGTTATTGACAAGATTACAATAATTAAAAAATTTACAGTAATGCAGCAAAGTTTATAAAAATTACATACATAATTTGCAGGAAGTAAATACAGAAGAAGATACAGAAAGTAGTTCTGATTACATGGGTGAAACAAGTGACGATGAAGATAGTGGTGGAGGTAGCCAGTCTGGAGCAAGTATGAAACCAGGAGTTGATCTTGATATAGGTAGTACATTAAAACGGATTTTGGAGTTGGACTATGATTTAATAACTAATAAAAACAAGGTTAGCATAAGTTAATAATTATATCTATTATCCTGCAATTTATATTTATATCATTTCATTCTTAGTCTTCAATCTATAATTGAAATATTAATATTTATTTCAGCTTGTTGTACTCCCTGCACAACCTACTGTGATAAATATTTTAGAATCTTGGGTACAGCATTTTACCACAACGCAGTTGACAAATATTCCAGACAAACCTCAACGAAACAAAACGAATAATACAATAGAAAAGACAGTGAATGAAGTGAATATATGCAGAGAGGTCGCGGATGGCCTACGTATATATTTCGATTTTACGTTACCTCATCTTCTTTTGTACAGACAAGAAAAGGAACAACATAATTCCTTGAAATTTTCTTTGCTGAGTAATGAAGAACCAATTAGTATCTCGAAGGAGGAACCAATTGAGTAAATATATTTTCTTCTTTTATACCAATATAATGATTAAATTTCTTAAGAGATTTATTAATATTTACCGTTTGTTTTAATAAAAAAACTTTTCCGTTATAAGTATTTCAGAAATACCTGCAAAAGAAGATTTTGAAGATACGGAATATGCTCATTTGCCACCTTTTCAAGAACATGATTCAGAGATGGATACTACAAATAAGCCATCCAGCAATTCTAAACGAAGACTGCGATCATGTCGTGTAAGTTCCGTTGATGAAAGCCGGCAATTAAGATCTTACGACGAAGGAAAGCAAGATGGTGGTAATTTATCAAGGTAATAATTGAGTTGTTTTTTGCCATAAAAGTTTTGTAAATTATTTATTTCTTTCTAACAATTATTGTTTTTTTCGAGAATTTTTTTTTTAAATTGTGTGAAATGATTGCATGATGTAATAAGAATTTTTGCTTCTCTGACTTATTTGATATTAGATATAACATTTTTATGATTGTGTTTTGTTTTAGTAGCATAGCAAGTACAAGTTCCCGTTGTTCTAGCCCGCGAGGTGTAACATTAAGAATGCCGCCTGTTGTTACATCCGCTCAAGTAAATACTTTACTTCAACAGTCGAATAAATGGAGGCTAATGCCTCAAGTTTCAAAACAAATCGAAACTCCGAGTCCTTCTACTTATTATGGTGCCATTCATTTAACTAGGTTATTCGGTAAGTCGTCGTCTTATATTTTATAAAAATACATGTGTCACAATATTATAAAAAAATTGATTTTTTTCAATTTCAGTTAAGTTACCAGAACTGTTACAATCCACAGATATATCGAATAAAAAATTGAAAGTACTTTTAAAATATCTTGATATGTTTTTAAGGTATGTACAATAAATTATTAATGATTTTTTTATAATCTAAATGTCATTTCTTATATGAGAAAGTGTCTTAATAATATAATATGTTTACAGTTATCTAGAAATGCATAGGGAATGGTTTGGAGAACAATTTTACATGCAAATAGATAGTCGAATAATACCACAAACAAGTAATATTTAACATTTTAGTACAAAAATGACAATTTTGTGACTATTACTATTTTTCTATCGAATCTTTTTATATAATATTACATTATGTGTTTGGACAAAATTCATGATAAATTGAAGAATAACAATAGTAACAATAATAAAAAATTAATAAAAATAAAATTTAAAAAAAAGAAAAATAAAAATAACAAGCTTGTTTTTGTTTGTTGTAAAAATATTAAAGAGTATCAAAAAAGAATTTTATATAATTTTTAATGTAATTATGTTAGATTATTAAAAATTGCTGCAAAAATTAAAATTATTTCCATTTTACTGCAAAATATATAGAAAATTCAGTAGTAAAATATAAAATATTTTTTGTCATTACCTCCGTTATGTTTTTTTTCCTTCCTATGTTTTTCATATACATGGAATTGCATCCGAAAATTAACACTTGCATAAATTTTTTTGAACATACATTTAATTAGTAAAACAATGAAATTTCTAAGAGTTCTCAGAAATTCACTATTTTATAATCAAAATGTTCAAAAAATTTGTGGACAACAAATAAAATATTAATCTAAGTGCAGAAAGTGCAAAAAATATAGATCAATGTAAGGCTTTTTTCTTTTTAGGGCCACCACTAACTCCGGTTAACTTAATCGGTTGGTGGATTTTAATGGAATTGACCAATCGCAAATTGTCCGTAAATTTAACAACAAATACGGGCAATTCCAATGAAATAATCGGCCGATTACATTAACCGAAGTTGGTGTGACTCCAAAAAGAATAGGCCCAACTAGCAGGAACACATGACGTAGCGGTTTTTTCCAAAATGGCACATTCCTGATTGCTCGGTTAGATTAGGTTAGGTTATCACCGGTGATACGCATGCAAATTTTCCAGCAGTTCATTCCTGTTTATTGGTAAGTACAATCAGATGAATAAGCAGTATCCGGTGCGTTTGCATTTGACAATACCTTTTATCATTCAAACGAAATATCTCTTTATTCGTGTCATTAATCGCATGGTTTAAGCTGCTTTGACGTTCGCGAGGAACGAGTCGCGTGTCGTCGAGTGTCTTCGCGAATGCATCCGCACTGGACACCATTTTCCATTTTAAATGTACGCAAATTGACACTCGACCTGTCTCTTGTGCGCAGTGACACGCGACTCGGGATATGGGCCTGCAGGACGTCGTGTACACGGCGATCATTACACCGTTCAATGTTCTTCACAAAACGAGCGCGGGAGCTGCCTCGTTCGCTTGGAACGCGGCTTCGTCGGTGAGCTTATCGCGCACTTCCTCTTCACATGCCTTAGCGAATCAATACGAATCCTGCTCTTGTTTTTGTATGTACACTTTATATCGATCGTTATACCTACCTGGGACTAAATGATTTTTTCTTTTTAATATACTTTGTTGTATCAAGAAGTGGCACATTGCCAAATCGCCAAAAATATGAAACATTTTAGACATCTTTTGGACATCTGTCTAAGATACTTTATATTTTGATTTGGACTTTGTGTTGTCACATGTTGGGAAATTAACAGCAAAACTAACTGTCATTAACTATGACTCATAGCTAAAAGTTTTATAATCTTAAGATAATTTTCAGCCTCATCAGCCAGTTTATTATTAAAGATATATCGGCTGCACAAAGTTACTATAGATGTCGCGAAAAGTTAATGTTTAAAGTATAAGAATAATCACAATTATGTATATCAAATGAATAATTTAAAAACAAAATGTGTTTTCTCTATAAGAATCAATGTAAATTTAAAAATTAGATAATTTTTGAACCGTTCAAGAATTGATTTTCATACAAATATTTAAATAATAAAACAATTTATGAAATCCTTATGCTTTTGCCAATGTTTTGATTTATTAACACACGAACTTTTACGAAATTTTATTGCTTATAATTTTTGATGTCATTAATTTGATATAGACATACTTTTTCTCATAAGTTGATTTTAATTAAATTTTGATTTCTATAATTGATAATTAACTTATCAAATTATATCCATGCTATTTTGTTAATATAAATAGAAGTATTAATTTATGTTGTATAACATTTGATGAAAATTTCAATTAGGAACTAATTGTTTGCTTTAAGATAAATTAATTGTAAATTAATTTACATTAAGCTAATCACAGTTTGATTAAAACAACCTTATTATTTACAATCTAAAATTAAGGTCAGATGTATGAAGAATGTTTCCAAGCACTGCAGATTAAGAATTCGTTATAGCCATATTTCTAATTATATAATTCATTATTCTTCATCTTTTTCTTTTCTATTGAACAAAAAAATTTATAATTTTACTCATATTAACAAAATAGCAAGTATTATTTAATAAATAATATCTATCATTTAATTGCATTTTTCTTTTTCCTCTTTTATGTATATACTTTTTAATATACTATTTCATTGCTTTCATCTGTGATGATAATTAAGACTCGAACACAATGGAAATACAGAATAAGGAATTCTATAAAAAATTTCTTTCAATCAATAAAATATCTTAGTATTTCTTGATTGCAGATTGAAGTATAGTTTCTCATATGTCGAAATTTCATTCCTTAATTCATTCCTTAAATTTCCTTCTTTTCATTATGTTTGAGTTCTTACAGTAAAAAATCAGCACGCTTATTCGCTGACATGCTAGTTACTGTAGATGTAGCAACATAAAGTAGAACCAATTACACACCTGACAACTTTGTTAATTCAGTGCAATAGTTACTATGCATTTTCCAATACGCAAACAACGCATTGGCAGCCAATAAATTTTTTTATATCGTTTGCATTGTGCACTATCATGTCTTGCATTCGTTTTACCATAACGAGTTTTCACGTAAGTAGTTTTAAATATTTATCTGGTTATATAATGCAACTATTAAGCATAATTTAAATGTATTAGTAACAATTCTTTGTGTTAGAAACTGGTAATGCAAATTAGCAGTATAAATTATATGTTAACTTACTAAATTATTAATAGTTCTGAGAACACGAGAGTACGATGTTGTTTGTGGAAAATCGTTTATATTTTATGAAAGTTAATAATGTGAAATAATTATGACCCATCAGGCGGGTAATTACCTGGGTGTGAAACCGAAAGTCGAGGTAAAAATGCCAGCACCAGTACCTTTATGGAAATTGGCTGCGGCCAGTGGTCCATATGTGAGACTTGCAGCTCTTAGCGGTGCGGCGGCTGTGATTCTCGGTGCCATTGGATCCCACCGTAAGTAGGCTTGATATAATCATGTTTGCATTATCTTAAACCTGTGTTTGTTAACGCAAGATTCGAATCAATCCCTCTCTATTTCGCAGGACATTACACTAAAGACGAAGTAGGGCAGGAACAACGTCGTATCTTCGAAACGGCGAATCGGTATCACTTCATACACACTTTGACCTTGCTGGGATTACCGTTATGCAGAGTCCCAGCCGTGGTAACTTGATTGTCGCTACCAATCCGCAATTGTATCAATATCAGAATTGCGCAATAATTTCATGCATTTTTGTTGTAGGCTGCAACATTCTTGATGTCCGGGATCATACTGTTTTGTGGTAGCTGTTATTACACCGCGTTTACTAATGACAGACGATTCAGCGCAACTACACCAATCGGGGGATTTTGTTTTATACTGGCATGGTGCAGTATGTTTCTGTAATGTAAATATTATTGTAAAATAAGCTTTTTCATACTGGTTCAGCAATAATACACGATATAAAAAAGGGGGGAAACATACTTAGCAGTATGTTAAAGATTTACAAAAGAAAAAACATTTACAAAAATATAACTTTTGAACATATGAATGTAATTCGGCAATTATAGATTGATTTTATTTCTAGAGAATAAGTAAACATAAATAAAAAATATAATTTTGGGATTATTAAAATGGATTTTAGATATTTCTTAGATAACGGTGGCCTCTTGTTGCAATCCTTGATGTGTTTCGTTTGATGCGAAAGTACATTCCTTTGGTTAGTAAATTTATGTGATACCTGTATGTTTATTGAAGGCTTTTAAAGAAAAAAAATAAACAAAAATCTTCCAATGTAAATAAAGTAAAATTCGTTTATACTACTGAATCGATATAAATATATCTTCTGTTTATAATATTCATGACATAGGTTTGGATCGCGTATCCTGAACTATTACACACTTTATAATGATGCATCTATCAAGTCTTCCTTGCGTCCTCCTTGCGTATTCCTTGATTTTTCTGCGTATAATTAATATACTACACTCGCGATTCGTCATCATACAAAATTCTGATAAAAAGTAACTGAAAAGTTCTAATAAAAAATAATGCAAACGCTTTGAAAACATAACTGTGATAATATATAAATACAGATAAGATACAGCGACATGTCAGCGTACAATGTATCTCGAAAAAAAAAAGAAAACAAAAATAAAATTTACGTTTTTTATAACAATGATATAAATAAATTACGATTGTAGCCAATAGAAGTACGCGACTTTCCAATTTTCTCATTCATTTTCCTAGAGAACACAACAAAATCAAGGAAACGTCGAATGTATGTTATACACGAAATTTAAAGATATAAAACTTGAAACAAACATATCTCTCAGCATTTGTAGATTACTTCACACACTCTTCCTCACACACAGTTTTCATATAGACTCCGCATTTCTGCAGCGACATAAGAAAGTAATGTACCTTGTATTATCCATTTGATACACCAGCTTCACTTACTTTATATCCGTTCTATTTCGTATCATACAATTCTCTTACAATTCTTTTCTTTTTTTTCTTTTTCTTTTCCCCTAAATACGACGATTTGCCTGTAAGTAAATGGATATCGGAATTCCCCTTTGATTCACGCGTATGTCATGACGGCGATTCTGGCGATTCCGAGTTGCACTCTTATGCAGCTAAATAAAGTAACGATTGGGCTAGATTCACTTACAATAAAAATATCAAATAATATTGATGAACATTACACACTGATTGAACTTAAAAATTAGGTGTGCACATACATACATACACGCGCGCGCGCGCGCGCGCGCGCGCGCGCACACACACACACACACGCGCACGCACGCACGCACGCACGCACTCACACACGACATGATTCGCGCTTCGCGTTCTCGGTCCTTGGAACATAAAAAGCGATGAGCACGAAGAGATCGATTATAAAATAAAGAACAATAACGAGAGACACGATATTGTATTTGTGTATATATATATGTGTTGTGTTTGTGTGTGTGTGTGTGTGTGTGTGTATGTGTGTGTCTGGAAATAACGTTGCTTCCGGACAGTAAGACACGCGCTCGCGCGCCTTCGTCGCGGGCGTGCGCGTCTCTTCTTGCTGATTTTTAGCTCGTGAATTTTTATTTCTCCCGCGATCACGGGGATTGGCGTATGGCGATGCTTTTTTAACGCATCACTGATATAAAATTTACTTATGTCTAGTAAACGTCCTCCTTTCTTTCTTTCTCGCTTTCGGGCTATATTATGTTCAATTAGTATAGTGTTTCATAGCAATATTATTTTTTTTTCATTACTATCATATAAAGTATTTATATCGACTTGCGTATATTAAACTATATTTACAATCTTTTCTTTTTTTATTGTAACACACTGAAGATAAGTTTCTTTTCTCTAAAACGAGGTCGCTCGCAAGCCACTCGGTTCGTAGCGTCGCGAGAGCGTTAACTCACACGGTTCGGTTAATTATGCTTTGCACTTTTCTTTCTGATAAAAATATATCACAATCCAAATTGGTAAGCAAAGATATAAACACCAAAAAAAAGAGCAATATCGTTATTCCGGTGAATTTTTTCCGAGAAAAATAAATTCATATGACAATTAAAATCATTATTTATCACGTTAGATTTGCACACTGGCAACATACGTCATTTCATACATACGTAATTTCACGTAGACCTTAATCAAAGTTCGGATAATTCTCGGTCTGAATAATACAAGTATAAAGGAGAAAATGAGATGCCGATCTTCCATCCGTTTCTAGGAGAGATGAAACGAATGCTGACCCTCTTGCGCGGCTATCCGCAACTTTTCCCGCATTATTTCCAAAGTGGTATAATCAGGCAGTTTTAGGTAATTAACACAAGTCATTACCGATGGTAGAAAATCATCCGTCTTCATAGATGGATCAAAGGTTTTGCGGACTATTGTTAACGGGGGCGTTAAGCTTTTAAAACCTGTAAGGTAACAAGTGTGTTACTTTAATGTCTTTTAATCTTTTTCACTTGTAAGTGAAAATGAGAATCGAATACATACCTCCAACGGGCATCTTTTCTACTTGTAAGTGAAAATGAGAATCGAATACATACCTCCAACGGGCAAGCGTGGCGAACCGGTGACGAACTGAATGAATTGTCGCTGCTCCTCGCTGTTGTACTTAGACATGACTTCGAACAGAAAACGAAATGGCTCGCGAATCCGGTGTGTAACCGTGATCGGTTCTGCAGCACTCAGCAAGAGTTTTCACGTCCCACTGTCCACCGGTTTGTGCGTGGCCGCAGAATACCGCCTCCAACTCTTCCGGGAAAAATAATCTTAGTTGCGACGGAGGGAATACCGATTCGAAACCTTCCCGGAAAGCCTCCATTTGTCTGAACACTCCTTCGTATAAGAACCAGTGTACCACTAACTGAAATATTACAGAAATCGCGTGATTACCATTATGATTTCTCGACCGATATCGACAAAGAGAAATGTCAAACGATACATTTACCTTAATATATTGATCCAGGTTGTGAATAGTTACGGATATCTCGCTGCCGCCTTTTCGCAATTCGATATTCTCATAACCCGGCAATTCGAATATAAGACCCAGTTCGGAAATCGGGCACATGTCTAAATCGAGAGCCTCGATTAATTGCACTTTCTCGTGCGGGCGCAGTGTCTGATCTTTTTCCATAACTTCCTTCTTCCTCACGACCTCTTGAAGTTTGCTAAGAGTACGATACACGTCGGGACATACATACGCCAGATCCGCTAATGTAAGCGTATGCTCCTCTCCCAGTAACCAGCGGTAAAAAGTTAAACTAAATGGCAAGTCCAACTAAAAGAGCACCAATTAACAATGTTAAAGACACAATTAAGAAAAAGTTTGGGAAAATTTTGCGCAACGTTGATTTTTACCATTCTGGAATCATATATCGCCTTCGCCATAAATTTCCCAAGGAATTTGAACTTGGTCTTCAACTTTGCTAGATGTGATACTTTAGTGGTCCATGGGATTGGCGTTGGGAAGAGCCCATTCAAAGAATTAACATATCCGTTTTCGGTGGGATTCGAACTGCCGTGCCACAAGTCTAAATCAGCGCGTTGCAGTTCCTTGGAGACTAGAGCGTAGAATTCTAAAGTTGGACCGAGACCAGTACCGACCTGTAATACGCCAAATATCGTCAAATATATCTTAGAGACTTGCAATAAAATTGATTGATTTCTTGAAGACGTGCGTAAAAGTGACTAACCTCATTAACATATTGCACTTCGAGTAAGGCCTTATTAGAGGCTAAGTCTTGAATCACTTGCTCTGCTTGTTTGAGAATGTCCGTTCTCGAAATAGTTCTCTTCCTTCGCTCTAAGCGTGGTGTAACACGTTCCTGACTATCCGATCCCGAAAGCTCTGGCGCGGAATCCAAGAGACGTTGCAGCGCTCGATCACGATCAAATGACGTAGCATATAGCAAGAGCTGCCTCGTCTCGAAGGGAAAGAGAAAAGGACTAGAAAAAAAATTGAATTATTTATTACAAATATATTCCTTATAATTAATTCCTTATAAGAAATAAGAATAATTTTCTTATAAGAAAATTGGATACATTAATAACTAATCTGTTCGACTAACCAAACAGATGCGATCTGTTGTAACCAAGATGGTAAGTTTCCAGTCATGATCACCAATGGATCTTGCAGTTGTCTGCTAGCTTTTGCAGCAATCTTATTGTTGATGAAATCCTGGGGTGACAGTAGACTCATGCTTTTCAGATGAGGAAATAGTATACCCCAATGACGATTGAGAGCGTGCAAAAGCCGCAATAGACACAATCCATCAAGAGAAGCATCTGTGATGGTTACCGAGGGTGGCAAGATGGGGGATAAATATGGCGCAAGAGGACAGTGTTGAAGCGGAACCGTGCCTTCTAGCCAGAGACTATCTTCTTTCCTCTTCGAACTAATCTTTGTACTTTTTCCCTTGCCCTTTCTGCTATTACCCTGTGAACTCGATCCTGATTTTGGAGAAGTTACGGTATCCTCTTCTGGTACTGGTCTGCATTCAGAAAGAATAAAATATTTATCACAATGTTTATTCAAATATAAAAGAATTCCCGGATTTTCCAGATATTTTCATTCAAAATTTCGAGTAAAATTAAAGAATTTTAAAGAGATATTCTAATCTAGAGGTATTCTAATCTTCAAAAAAATCAATTTTCGATATTCGAAAATAATGGAGTTACGAGCATCAGGTTGCGGCGTACGATAAAATTTATGCATTCGAAGGCAGCGCTACGCCCAACAGGTAGTCCGGTAATAACTTTTTCAGAATTACTTTTCTTTCTTAGAAACAAGTAAAACAGTCGAGAAACGGATATGACTTCAAAATGTTAAAAAAGACAAAAAACTTAAACTCGGAGGAAAAAGAAAATTAATCACAAGTTAATTACTAATTTAACAAAATATTATGATTTGATAATTCAAAGGCATCCTTATTTTGAGATGATATAAGAAAAGAAATTTTGCTAACTTTCTACCACAAAATTTCGACAGGCGAGGAGCCCGTAGCATTCATATCTTCGACGTGATGTAAATGATAGCAGGCTGTAGAACAAGGAAATTTGACAGACTTCATGCACGATACTTCTCTTCATCCGAAGGTACAAAAGATTCTACAATCTATTTATGAGAATCTGCCAGGAGATGACTTGCTTGAGAGATATGAAGATACACATACTCAAAATAACAATGAGAATTCAAACTTATTAGATGGACTTTCGCATCAAAACATTTTTTGTATTGCAAAAATCATCGAAGTTGCTAGATATTTAATGAACAAATTTATATATTTTCAACAAAGGCTCCATTTCTTGAAATGATCATAACAGGTGTGACAATAGGGTTACCAACAACGATATTCAATATGCGAAATGAGTAATATCTATCATCTAGCTCCGAACAATGAACATCTGAAGCATCAAAGCAAGTATTGCTCATCGATTGTAAATTTATGAACAAAACAAGCATTTTAAGAATATATTCCTATATTATTTCTTATATTATATTATAGAAGTTATAAGCGATTTAGCGAAGCGGTGTGTATTAATTTATTTAGCATTCGAGTACGCTTAGGTAGAAGTTGGAGCGCGCGGGAATTTTTTTGTATTCGCATCCCAAGCATTTCAAGCACCTCA